AATCCGTATGTATTTATTTCTCCAGCTCCACTTCATGTATCGTCGTTTCTAATTCTTCCCTTCTCTCCATCACCGACAATATTTCATTCTTGCCTCGTGCCAACGACTCCATTATCTCCATAGCCGCAAATACCGCAAGCACCTTCGGTGAGACCAACCTGACCTTTAATCGCCTTTCAACCCTTCGATGATTTATTTCAGAATTAATCTCGGTCGTTGCTACCGACACTAACGTCGAGATGCTTTTTCACTGTCCTTCCAGTTGGTTTTATTAGATCGTGAGGTGGTGCAGGCATTTTTTACCCCTTCGAAATAACAGGGTAGCTGCAGCGAAGATGCCCAGTGAGAGTGGAAATATTAATCATAAAAGCACCTGAAGATTAGAGGGGAGCGTGACCAGATTGACGCTGCTGCCGGCACAGTAGGTGAGAGGAAGTAAGAGGTGCTTTGATTATGTTACAGATGTACGATGTGGGGTGGATCCAGAGACGAATTTTAAAGGGGAAATATTGGGCGCCTGAACCGTTCAGTCGATTTTCTCCATAATCGATATACCCCAATGTGCCTGAACTTCGGTTCTTATTTATGTTATAGAGCTTAATTCATTCATCATTATTCTGATAAAAACGTAAATTTAACAAAAATAGCACTTACAACCTTTTTAATTTCAAGTTTTCAATTATGTTAAAAAAAGCTCCAAAGTTGTTTTTTTTAAATTTTCTACTCGAAGGTGTCGGAGGACGGTTAATAAAAGTGACAGTAGTATTATTACTGGTGAACTCTCTGAATATTTTGAAAAATTCAGAAAGTTTACATATTTTTCTGAAAGAAAGTCTGTTCTAAAAAATACTATCTTTAAAAAAGTCTTGAACCATTGTTTGAAAAAAAAATAGTTTTCTTGTAATTTCTGCGAAAAGTTAATGCAAATTAAAAAAGAACCATTTTCTCCAAAACTGCTCCACATTTTTTCTTTAATTTTTTTTCACTGATAGAACAAGTGGCACTAAAAAGAACGGCGGTCTTATTTTCGTTGAACTTTCTGAAATTGCAGAAAATTGCAGAAAATTATGTGCTCTTGTTGCATCACTGGTTTTATTTTAATAATGTATTCCAATAAATAATATTTTTAAGTTACATGTTGCCCCAAAATTCTATTATATTTAATTGATTTTTCTGTATTACGATATTTATGATAACATTACTTTAAGACCGTACATAAGAAACTGCTGGTTAGTTTTTGTAATTGATTTTTCGTTGAACTGCTTCTCTCTGGCAAACCCGGTCTTCCGCCCATCGGCCAGTCTCATCCACCCACTTACTAACCCGTCCACCTCACCGTGCCCTTGGCCATCCCCACCGACTCCACTCGTCGGCTGCCATCCCCGCCTAGCCACCTATCCAACCATTTGCCCACCCCTTGTCCCCTCCCG